TTGTTTTCGAGTTCGAAAGAGCTAAAAGTGTAAGTTGTTTCTACGAATGAGTATAGTGAAAAATACAGTTTTAGATCATATATAATTTTCCCATGGATATTTTATTATTATTATTTTTTTTTTTTGTTTACAGTAACAAAGACTCCTAATTTTTATCAGCAGAGTTCTTCGTTGATGTTTTCTCTACGTTTTACGATAAATACTAACATAATAAACAAAAACTTCTATGTCTTTAAATACCTCATAAGTGAGAATACATGTTACCCAATTTAAACCATTAAAAAATACATTTTCAGTTTTTCACTGAATGTCTGCATAGATGCTCACTATGCAGAGGGATGGAAGGGGGTGAAACACAAGTCTCTATCGTATGTACTTCAACACTCATTTTAGGTAGTGTTTCACAAAAATCTTACAATATCATCCCAAGAATTAATACGATTATTTGATAAATTAAGATATTGTAAATCAATAAGTTTATCAAATGTATTTGGTATTAAACTAATTTGATTATTATTTAAATCAAGTTCATTTAAATGTACAAGAGACGATAGTATTTGTATATCTTGAATATGATTATTAGCTAAATGCAGAACACGTAATGAGGATAAGCTTTTTAATGGTGTTATATTAATAAGTTCATTATTTGACAAATCAAGATCAATTAAATAACGAAGATTACGAAATTGATTCGCTAAAGTTTTTAAATAACAATGGCATGCACGTAATTCTGTTAACGATGAAAGTGTATTAATGAACTAAAACAAAAAAACAGAATAAATTAATATTCATTCAAACATAAGATAAAAAACTTTTAATTTTTCTTTTTTTTTACTTCAACATTTTCTATTGAACAATCGGATATATCGAGAGTTTTAAGTTGAGCTAATTTTAATACTTCATCTGATCGAATTACTGAGAGTTTATTAGAATCTATACGAAGTGATTGTAAACGAGTTAGGTATACAAGACCAGAACCTAATAGAAAACAATAATTTCATTCATTGAATGTATAAGGATATGGTTTACCAATTGATTGAATTTCATTATATTGTAATTGAAGAATTTGTAATTGATTTAAACTAAATAAAACAATATCAGTCAATGATATTTTATACTATTTTTTTAATGAAATGGAATAAAATATGATAAGACTATCAATAATAGAGAAAGTAAGGGGTATAAATGAAGGTTTACTGTACTAGACTTGGAAGCATTACGCAGACTTTCAAGACGAATCATTTAACAAAATACTTTTTACTAGCAGATCTATTCATGATCAGAAATTACAAGATCATGTTCGATTCATTGTAAAACTTCTAAATAAACAAAAAGTCTAAAACTATACAATTCTACTAATACATTCAATATTAGTCATGAATAATCACATAGCAAAAATATAGTTTGTTTAGAAATAAAATCATCATATAAGTAAAATCAACAAGAACAAAATATGATTATCTTCGATTTGAATTTAATTCATTATAAAGAATATTTTCTTGAACAAATTCTTTTATCATGACTAGATGTAAAACTATTGACTCTTTCAGGTCACACTTAATTAATGAATTCATAATAACGTAATTAACAAATAACTCTCTAAAGTCATGATGAGAAAGTTCAAGAATGTCAAGATAGACTTCACGTTGCGAACTATGATATGGTGAAATTTTCAGCAAGACCTAAATTCTAGAAACCACCTCACAAAAACAAATTTTCCAAAGGTTTTCTCATGTTCTAGAACAAAACACTTTATTTTGTTATCATCTCGAGATCCACAAGATGTGTTGTTTCTATATTCCTAGTCGATCATGTCCCTAATAACAAGAAAAAGTTTATTTTGTTGAAAAATTTAAGCACGTTAAGAAAAAATTCTTGAATGAAGGTTTTGTAGCTTGAAGAATGCTCTACAAAATGCACTATTTAATATTCAAAAATTACTTTTTTTTAGCTTATAGTATTTTAAATATAAACACATTCAGTGAAAACCTTTGTTTGTATTTGTGTCACGCTCTTAACGCTAGTTTTTCAAGAAAAAAAAAAACAGCGGAACAAATGAAATTTATTTTATTAATAAATACTGAAAAATTTTTCGAAACACTCCTTTCAATTTATCAATTCTTATATTAAGAAAATATGCTAATCAAAATACATTCTATTGAATAGGACATTGTTATAAAATTTCAATGTAATGAATAAAAGCTCGTAAAATGAATTTAATAATCGAAATAGATTGATGTGTCATGTAATTATGTTTATGTTAGAATATCTCATGAGAGTAGAATTTTTCACACTATCTATCATGATTTATGAAAAACGGAAGATTCAATTTTATAAATACAGCTCTTATAAGTCGATTCACAGTCGTAATTTGTAACAAAATACCATTCGAGATTTTCAATTCGTTCAATTTTATTTCCATATAATTTTAATTCACGTAAATTCTAGAAGAATAACAAAAGAAAAAAAAAATATATATACCTTTTACAAGTATTCTTAAGTTATTATTTTACCGATAGATTTCTTAAGTTTTCAATACGTATTAAATTATTACATGAAAGATCTAACATCTGCAGTTTACTAAACTAATAAAATATGAATAAAATATATTTTAGATTTTCCTATAAAATTTATTTAATTACTTGAGATAAATTTGGTATTGTCACAAGTCCTCTTGCATGTAAACAAAGCTCATTAACCATTGCTGGAGGAAGTTTATCAATGTCATCAAGCTATATAAACAATATTTCTCTAGAAAAAAGAATGAAAAACAAAAAAACACAAAAAAATTTACAAGTATTTCATTATTTAATTGTGAATTTTTGTTTGTTACAAGTGGTTGAAGACGTTCTGATTTAGATTTTAATGATGTTGTATTAGTAAAACCACATGTTTTTGAACGAGGTAATGTTGAACCTTGCTTTGATGATCCAGGAGATTGTATTTGTGTTGTTGGTGAAATACCCGATGAACATCGTTTATTATTGGATGACATTAAAAATTTATCTAAAAAAAAAAACAAAACATGATTTCATACAATTTTCTTTTTTCTATTTTGAACATATGAAAAAAGAAACATTTTATTTATTTATTAATGTAAATTTAAAAATTGAAATCATCATATTCTCGAGCAAGTTTTAGTGTTATTTGAAGTAAACATTTATCTTTATCCCACTTTGCTTGAGAATTATCAGGATCAACAGGATGAGGTAATGATAATGTTAGACGACTAAACAAAAAACATAATAAGTAAACTAACGGACACCAAAAAAACAAAATAATAAATAAAAGCTTTTACTATTTCGGACAGCGACAATCAAGAAATAATTTTGTTATATCCAAAATAATATCACTTAATTTTGTATCCGGTAATTGAATATTAACCTAAGAAAATATTTTAAAATAAAGTATCAAATAAACATAGCATTGCAAAATTTTTCTATCAGCGTTGGTGTACTTGAAAATTTTGCATGGATGGAAGTGCCTGAATAATCAAAACTATTTTTTCTGACGTCTATTTCAAGCTTATTGCAGCTAGTTTTATTTGATAGAGTAAAATGAGATATTTTTGTTCTCTTCATGATCTTCGTGTATCGAACTGTGTTGGATTTTAGAAAGATCCCTAAATGTCAAATATATCGAAATTTCTCATAAAAACAAAAGTATTTCTTCGATCTTCTGTAATTTTAACCGTGGTTCGATGAAGAAACATCATAAAGAGAGATGATATATATATCATTTTGCTCTATCAAATAAGGCCATTCCAAAATAGCTCCAAATGAATGCTGGAAAACTCTTATTCAAACAATTTTATTGAAGTTTTTAGATTCAACAATCTTAATAGAGAATCTTTTTGGTTATTTGAAAACTTTTTTAGATTCTTCGTAACCTAAAAAAAAATACAACTGCTCTAAATTTTTCTCCGTGAATATATGTCAAACAGTTTCTAAAATGTTATCACTATTGAATAGCTTTGTTAACAAAACATTTCAGTATCAAGGATTTTCTGTTAATCTTAATCGTCTGACTTATACAAAACTATAATATAAATTTTTCGAAATAACTCACCACAAGATCCTCACAACTAGCTGATGATGGATTTTTATTACCCATTTGAAGAAAAACATCTTCTGTTGTGACTCGTTGTTTATAATGCATTTCATATCTTAACATTCAACAAAAAAAAATAATAATAGATTAATAAAAAAAAAGAAAAGATATTTATTATTTACTCTGGTTGTGGACGTTTGTCTACTTGATCCTGAAGTTGTACATTATTATCAGGTACTTCATCAATTTGCCAAATATCTTTTGAATTAACAGTTGAAGTTTCTTGAATAGAAACAAAAAAGTTTCTAAGACTCAATTATATTTTAGAAAAATACTTTTCGGAGTTTCAGCATTGACATTTTCAATTGTTTTTGCAGTTGTTTGTGTTTGCGAAACAAAACTTGCAGGAGTTAAATGAGCTGTTGGATTTTTCTTTAGCTAAAATATTTAATAATCAACATATAAAAACCAAAAGACATATTTCTTTCTAACTATTTGATCATCATCACTATCAGAATCATCTCGATTTGGATCAGATTGTTTAAGTAAATTAGCTAATTGATTTATTTCAAATCCATACATTGTTATTAAAAAGTTTTAATAAAATAAAAAAAAGTGACTAATGAGTAGTACAACTTAGTTCCATTTTTCATAAGATTTATTCATCGGTTGTCGTAGTTACATGTAGATGTCACCAATTGATAGAACAGATTTTGTTTTCAAAATAAAGAAAAAAAACATAGATATTCTATAAATCTTTTTTCAATATTCATAAAAAACATTTTTTTTTTCTTTTTAAATCTATTTTTTTTTTGTCAGGAAAATCATTAAGAAAAAATACAGAAAAGAAAAAAAATAAATAAACATTAATAAAAAACCAAACAGAATTGTTTTACCCATTCACTCAAACAAATTTTCAATTATTTGAAAAATAACTTGAAAATAAACTTATGGCTACGTTCGCATCTCCATCATCAACACAATCTGATGTATGTTCATAATATTTTATTAAATTTCTGATACAAAAAAAAATAGCATTCTTATAGGATGCTTCACTAAATAATAATCAAAATGGGGATGATGTTCCTCTTAATTTACCTTCTTCAAATGTCAATCCATCTGAGCGTGTTGTTACACCAATTATACAGCCTAGAACAACAGTTCAACAACAATCTACAGGTGGATTTTCTTCAGCATCAATATCGGCTAATCCAACATTTACAGCATTAAAAGGTACTACTTTACAATTAGCTCTTGGTCATCCATTGACTTATGTACGAGCATTAATGCAAGTAAGATATTTAAAATAAATTATTGTTATTTTTATTTTATTTGTTTTTCTAATCAATAATCAAAATCTTTCTTAGATGGGTTATGAACCATTACCAGCATATCGAGGAAAAACTTTATTTGGCAAAGAAGCTCTGTATCATCCGAATGTATTTCGCTATCGTTAGTTTGTTTGTTTTTTTTAATTATTAAAACTATTTTTGTTTTTAATTTAGTTAAGTATGTTTATAGTATTGATGGTGTTGTTGGTTTATATCGTGGTTTTGGTTGTTCGCTCTTATCTAAAGTTGTTTGTTGGTATACGACAACAAAAGTTGATGAAGTAAATAATATTATAAAGAAGAATTTAATAATAAAAAATTTTTTTTTTAATATTTTATTAATTAGCTTCTTGGACCTGTTGATACTCGAGTATCGAATGATCAAACACCTGCAGCATGGAATAAATGTATTCAAAAAGTATGTTAAAAAAAAAATAAAATAATTATTTATTTATATATTTACTTATATAGATATTACGTGAAGTACAAGCACAATCATGGGGTATTTTCATTTCACATCCTATTCAAGGTAAGATTTCATTTGATTTTAGTGAACAAAAAAATAAATAAGAATATTTGATTGATAATTAGTTATGGCTATTCGATGTATGGGTCAATTTGTTGGTCGTGAAAAAGCATATTCAGAAATAAATATATTTCAAAATATTAAAGAAATTTATAATCGTCAAGGAATTGGAGGATTTTTTGTGTATGTAAATTTAATATTTATGATCTTGATTTTAATTTTTCTATGTATAATAGTGGACTTATTCCTCGATGGTTACTTGAAATTTCAACTGTTATTATAACAAATATTCTTATTCATTTATTAAAAACACAATTACCACCACAAAATGAAATGGTGTCTTTATACGAATATATTGCTACTGTAAGTTTATTTCAAATGATAAGCAATGATTCATATGATTTTAGAAAAATTTGAAGTTAATCACTATGAATTTTTATGAAAAAATGTTCTATTTTTGTTTTGAATCATTCGATAGAGTTTATTAAGAGAAGAAAAAAATCTAAAAGTGTTCAACTCTATGACTTGATGGTGAAGAGTGATGATCGTTTTATTGAAATTTTACATATAGATAGATTTACTAATTATTAGATATTTCTGAAAGTTTCAACGAAAATGAATATATCTTTCTCGAAATATTTAGTTTTCAAAAAAAGAAACAATCGTTTAATGTAGAAGTACACGAAAATCAATTATCTCGAGCAGGACATGTTCGTTTTCGTTGATACTTTCAGGACTATCTTATGATTATTACATTTGCATATAGATAAAATTTCAAATCAAAACTCTGTATTTTGATTTTTTTTGAAATATTTGACTCTAAGTAAAACGATGGTAACTGTTCGTCTGCATTCGAGCATTTTAAATTATTTTTTAATCTTAATATGTTTGTATCTAATGATGTAAGAATGAGTCAAAAGGAGCATAGCAGAGATGTCCATCGCGGTTGAAAACTGACCGCTGCCGTGACGATAAAAGAAAAAAGCTAACGCGCCGCTACCGCACCGCCGTGATAAAAACAGAAAACCTACCGCACCGCTGCCGCGACGCCACCAAAAATAACCATGCCGCGACCGCGCCGCTGCCGCGATGATTGTTAGAATAATGTTGTGAATTTTACGAGCTGTGACTGTTCAGGACTTGAGCTGTTGTTACCAATCGATAAGATTCGTTGAATCTCATAGTTTTGCACTTGCAAACATTGAAATTCTGTTCGAATTCATACATTTTTGTATTGTTCTCCAAAAAACCTACCGCTGCCGCGATAGTTAGTTAAAAAAACGACCGCTGCCGCGCCGCACCGCAATGGTTATTTGAAAAAAACAACCGCTACCGCGCCGCCACCGCCACAGCGGCAGCGGCGCGGTGGTGGTAGCGGTAGCGGTCGCGCCGCGATGGACATCTCTGGAGCATAGGCATGTTAAGTACTTCTCTCGTTAGATTTATTTCATAGGAATGAATGATCAATTCATCGTGCTGGCTTTCAAGTATAGTAACAAAAATAAAGATAATCAAAATAATGAAATTTACAGATCAAAGTTCAAAATTTCGAATTTCGTTTATTTTGTTGAACAAAAACTTATGGAAATTCTTTGTGTTAACAAATTTTTGATTTTTTATAGAATTTTAGTTTAACTATTTTGTCAGACTCATTCATGAGAAAACATACATAGATGTTCAAGCTGTTCTCATTTTTCATCTCTTGAAAACAAGCAAGTTTTCTATATTTTTGAATTATATATTTTCTTAGGATACGACAGTCTAACTATGAATAAAGTATCAAACTAAAATTGTTGGGGGTTCAAGTTTTTCCGAAATATCTTGCAATAAGTTCAAAACTCAATAAAATAGTCATAACTTAAGAAACATCTAAGAGAGTGAAAATCTTTCTCTGATCTATCATGCTTCATCAAAATTTATTTGTTACTCAAAGACAATAATGTTCCTTGTACATATATAAATATAATCATAAACAAAAATAAAACATATTAATTTACTTTAAACTCAAATTTTATTTGTGTTGGATAAAAAGACAACCAACTTGTGTCTATCGCCCTAGCAATAGTGTATAAATTAGTGATAGTATCTTCTTTTGACCAAAAAAAAAAAATATAAAATACCATGATCAAAATGTAAACATAAAATTTTCAATATTATTCGACAAGCAAACCAATTCGAAATGTGTCTAGTGAAAATGTGGAATAGCTTTTCATTTCGAAATATTTGTTCAACCTTATACAAACATTTGTAAATAATTCAATCAGAGTTATAACTTTAATTATGTAACATGATCACGCCATATTTGTTTTATCCTTTTTGCTATGTCGTTTGAGTCTTACAATGAAACCTAATACAAAATGAGTCACGATATTCTTGTTATTTGTTTATATAACCTCGATTTGAAACTTGTGATAAATGAAATAAAATTAATTAACAGACTATGTTTTAACAAAAAAGAAAAGAATAATTTTTTTTTAGTTCATAGCTCAAACAGTGACTTATCCATTGAGTGTCATAACAACCGTAACAGCAATTAATCGAAGTGGACTTCGTGCTGGAATGTTACCTATAACACCCGTTTATGCTAATTGGCAGGATGCCTACAATTATTTGAAAAAGACGGTAAATTTTCCTTTTTTTTTTTGTTCTTTTCTTTAGAATTAAAATATTCCTTTTCTTTTACTTTTAGGAACAATTAAAACGCGGTTCTAGTTTATTTAATCGTGCTGTCCTTGGCACAAGTGGCCTTCCAGCACCTGGTTCACCCATACCGAATGCTTAAAAACTATGTTCGTCTTTCTCTCTCTCTCCTTCTTTTTTTTTTTTTTTTTTATAAAACTGAGTATTCGAAAATGTATTGTTGTCTAGGTAACAGCAGCGTATTCTCCCATTTCTCTCTCTCTCTCTCTTTCATGCTTGTCTCTGTCTTGTCATAATTTATTGTCGTTTTTTCTCTTTCGTTTACATTTATCCTCCTTTCTTTAGAAAGTAAAGAAAAAATGAGTTCAAGATCAAATAAATAGAAACCATGGACCTTGTAGAGAATTGACATGAAGGAAAAAATAAAGACTAACACTGATATCAAGGTCAAACAATATCACTACAGAAACGAAAGAAATAATGCATTCAGGATGACCGATCGGTCGACTTTTTTCTTTTTCATTTGTCTATACATATTCACATGAGATATTTAACTGTACGATAACATATAAAACAAAATATTCACATGTTTCTAAACTGGCACCATTCCAAGGATAATAAACAACAGTCTATTAGTGGTATGTAAGAATATTAAGTAAAATATTTGATATAATTGCTTGTACTCATTTTCATTTTGAAGCACGTTTATGCTTGTTCTGTACATAAAACGAAGTAACGGGTGTATGGCGTGATGCTTTCATACTTTTCCTCCTACATATGTATAAATATATATACTACTTTTCGTTTTTTTCTTTTTTCTCATACAGTCATTCTAGAGACGCTATACTATATTTATTATTAATATTTTCTTGTTCTTATTTGGTTCAAGTTTAGTATTGAAACTTTTTCTTCAATAGTACAAATTGTTGAAGGCAAATAGGTAATAGGTGTAAATTATTTCTCTCGTCATGGCTCGATTTTTGTACACATTTTAACAAGTTATGGTTACGATTTACTGACGAGGAAATGGCCCAATTTGATACCCACCGTTTGAGCTCATGACGAATTCATCAGACGGTCTTAGTAAAAGTAGATAAATTCTAAGAGTGTTTATGCTCACAAGCTTTTGGAGCTGACTTAGGAGACTGCTTCACCCAATTTTCGACAAGCCTTATATATTTATTGAAAAGTCTAATAGAGGAATTTTGAGTTGAAGTTTCGCCTATATTCAAGTCAAATGATTAATAGAATATCTTGAAAGCTTCAGCCGAAAACAATGTTCTTTTATCGAGATATTAAGTTTTCAAGTAAGCCCAATATTTGTGGTAAACGGCCATTTTTTCAAAAATTCAATATCTTGACAAAAGGAACAGTTTTTTTTCGTCTGAAGCTTCAGAATACTCAACAAGTCGTTCGACGAAATTTCAGATCAAAATACTATTATTTGCTTTTTCAGTAACTAGTTAAAGCTTGATTAAAAATTCAATAAAACGGTCACAGATCAGCTCTAAAGACTCATGGGCACTAACCCTTGTAGACTTTTCTAGTCTTACCGAAATCTTCACGTGAACCCTCCATGAGTTCAAACGTCGAGTATCAGTTCGAGTAGTTCCCTTATGAGTTATTACGTATAACATAATTTTTTGTCCTACTAGATAATTCGTGAATGTCAATATGTTATATCAGTCACTTAGAGATAATAGACTCAAGCAAAAAAAAAAATAACTGTCCGATATCACAAGTATTTATAATCGATTTCGATAGTAAAAAGAAAGTAGCAGAAAAAGAAATAAATGTTCATTTTTTTTCCACTTCTTATCTCTCATCTTCTATTTTATTTAAAGGCATACACCCGCCCACATATATTACCATAAATAACATTTTAAATACCTATGTTTTAAAATATACAAACATGATAGAATGTTAAATCTTTTATTTTTCTTCCTCCAACGTATTCTATCATACACATATGAAAGAGATATAAATAAGCAAGAAAAAAGACTAATATCGAAATACATTTTTGTTTTGATGCGTATTGTTTTTACTTACATTTCCGTTTATTTTTTATTATTATTGAATAATAGGTTAGAACATAGGATAATTTATCATAATGGTTACGATTAATAATTCTCCAATGAAACAAACAAATCGATTTAAAACACGTATGAATTGCATTCGACAAATATCGAATTCAAAATGGAAACAATTTTCAAATATTTATTCAAAATTTTTAATACGTTTTTCATGGTCAATACTTTCTCTTAGTTTATTTATTACTGTTGGACTTACAGTATGTTTCTGTTTACTTATGCAAATACGTTCATTTGATCAAAATGATTTTATTATGGGAAAAAGTTCAACAATGCAGAATGCTGCTCGTTTAAGAAAAATTTTTGGCAATGATACTGAATTACGCATTCATCAACAATTGAATATTTATCCAGCACTAGATATTATTATAAAAAGAAAATTGAATAATACTGCAAGAAATGATAATCTAACAAATATGCTCAATGAACGTATTTTAGAAGAGGTATTAAAAAAAAAGAAAAGAAAATTTATTTTTGCTTGTTTTTTGTTCGATAGTTGAAGATAGATGAATGGAGCCTGTAGATGAATCGTATAGGAAACGTCTTAGAATATAAAATTTGTTTTTCATCTTACAATTATAGATTTCAATTAAGATAAAATTCTATCGTTTATGTTCCTATAACATTATTAGAAGGAAATCAAATAAAAGATAAAACTTTTTATGCGATCACAATTGATATATCATCAGCTTACATCAGTTGCAATAAAAGTGTTTTATAACTATTAAAACTTAACGAAATATTGATGAAATTTAATTATATGCTAAATGCATAGATGTAATTTGTACAGAGAATTTACGAATATATTTGTACTCTCTTGAAAATAGAACATATTTGTCAATATACCATCCGGTTGACGTCTTCCATTTAAAGTTATACTTTTGTTTATAAGTAGAATTCAAAGTTTACATGAAAACTCAAGAAAATATTGTGTTATTAAGTCTTTCTTTTCGAACTATATTCATTTTACTGAGCAGAATATTGTAGGGATGTGCAGTTCGAGTAAACTGTTTGCTGAAAACTCTCACTGACATGCACTAATTTACTTAACATATTCATATTTTATGAGTCTGTCAATGTTTCAATAAAGACCGATCTAGTATAGTCAATGCGTCAATTGACTTACTGCCAATATATTTCAGTATTTTCACAGAAACTACACACCCCTAGAATATTACGATAACAACCACATGAATGAATTTTCTCTTGAAAATTTTCACAATAATAGATTTTATGACTCGTATGATATTATGAAGGTTTCAGCTCAAACAAACATTTCGCTTTCGAGCTGATACACTTCTCACAAAAGTTACTAAAATAAGTCATGAGATTTTTTATTGTGGAAAATTTTAAGTAAGATTTCCTTCTAATGGCAAATGCTTTTAAGATTTCTATCTAGACTGTGAGTCCTGTCTATGGAAAAAGTATGATATAAAATAGAGTATACCAGTCAAATGGGTTCCCTCACTAGATAATTAAGGTTTTTTATTAATTACAAATTATTAATAACAAGTCTTGATTCTGTATCGAGAGCCAAAAAATAGATGATAAACTATACATTCTAATATGACTGTAGAATTGCTCCAATAGCTCATACAGTGGGAAAATTCTATATTTAGAAAATGTCTTTTTTTATAATGAGTAGTACAATCAAAACCTATTACGAACAACGTTTAGAGTTTTGATTTCTATCGTTCTGAATCAGTTCTGCGAGTTGTTAAAGTACTTCATCCGTAGTATCTTTGAGACTTTGATTTACAGGATACAAATTCTATCATAGTTCATTAGAAACAAACTTCTTCAAAAAGAATATTTAGGAAGATCAAATGATTACTTTAATTGTTTATCACCAGAAATCTTTTTAACAAGACCAATTCTTCATGAGAAGGAAAAAAACAGACACCTTATTCTTCAAGTCTGTGGATATCCGCTTTTGTCTTTCCTCCTTTTCCTTACTAAATGATCTATTGAACGCAATTTATCATTTTCTATAATTTTTTTTTTAAGAGTATCCTTTCGTTATGAAAATACATTTTTTTTTATCATACCGATTGAGTGATACCGATTGAGATAAAGCTACTGCTTTATCTTTTATTTCGTTTAATCTACATTAAAAAAAAATATTTAGATGTACATTTTGGATCAACAAATTCAATCTATTCAAATAAATGGTACAAATACATCCATTAAATATAATTATTCATCCTTATGTACAAAAATAAATTATGCTTGTGTTATTGATGGAAATTATATTTTAAGTAATAAATTTCGTCAAGAAATGTTTAATTTACTTCCTCCTAAACATGGATATTATTTTGATACAACAGGTGCTAATGGTGTACCAGAATTTATGTTTGGTAAAAATTATTATTTAACAAATGCTTTACCAATTGGTTCTGATTATGAAGAAGAAGAAGAAGAAGAACCAGATGATTCAGCAAAAATTGTTCAAACAACTTCAGACAAAATTATATCTTATGTACCACTTTTTCGTCTTCGTTATTCATTAAATACATCAACATTAGAAATGCGTCAATTAGCAATTGACTGGGAACGTGAAGTATTTCGGTATCTTAATGAAGATTTTAAACCAAACTCAATTGAAATATTTCCATTAACATCAACAGCTGCATCTGATGTTATTACGAAAAAAGCACATGATGAAGGATTATATATGATGATTATGTTTTTAATATTCTTTGTTCTTCTTTGTCTTTTTATAAGTATTCAAGGTAACTTTCATACATCTGTTGGTTATTTACCACTATGTGGAATATTGAGTATTGGTCTTTCAACTGGTGCTACATTTGGTTTAATATCTATTTTTCGTATTAAACTTATTGAACCAATGGTACTTCTGGTTTTTATTGTTGCTAGTAAGTTAAAAAGTTTATCTACGAAAATATTCATTAAATTCGATGATAATTGATAGTAACCTTTTTGAGAGATTGGTTATCATGAATTACCAAATTTGATTCCCTGAAAAATGAATCTCTAAATTATATCTACACTGGTAAATAATTCAACAATCAAGAGTCATTTCAAGATGATT